CCCCAAAACCCCAAAACCCCAAAACCCCAAAACCCCTTTTAAAGTCTCACAATTGAATTATTCTCACAGATAAAATTATTATTTTTATAAATGCAGGGATCAGAAACAAATTCAGAGACCTCTAACCCATATCTCCTCAAAGAGGATAAAAAGGAGGCTATGAAGAATAATTTTGAAAAAAATTTGAGGTAATTAGCTATCAAGTTAGAACTAAATTTACTTTTGCTGAAGAAAATATATGCCATTTGTTGTTAAACAAACCTGCAGTTTAATGCCTGAATAAGTATTTACCTTTTATCAGTTGCTAAATTTCTTTCTACATGCTCAATCTCGATCACCAAATATGTTGATAAAGAAAGTAGTTATAGAAAAGAAAAATATGAGCAAATAATAAATGGTAATGAAGACCAATGGACCACTTTGAAAGAAATCGACTTATCTGATTCTAATTATGATGAACTTCAAATGGAATCTCAGCACTTTTATGAAGCGCTCCAGAAATCACAAGGAGAAAATCAACTGATTCAAAGATCCATCAAGAAAGAGTTCTAATGATATAATATATCAATCTGAACCAAAAATGAATTTTGAGGCATCTCCTGCTGTAAAAGAATTTTCTCAAGTAAACAAGATGTCTGCTGACTTCTCTGATGCACCCTCTAATATTCAGAGCGAGAATACTAAAGAAGATGAGGATATAATTCCAAATCTGGAGGATTTGCCCGATCAGAATGCTAGTGAGGGTCATAGTGAAAGGAGGAAAAGTATCATCCAGGAAAAAGCGACTAAAGATATCATTTTGGAAAAAATCTTGGAAGAATTTAATAAAAAGATTTAAGAATGAGAACTCTAAACTGTCAAAAGAACATAAAGCCTGCACAAGTTCGGATAAAGCTTTCTGTAATAAAGATGCAAAGAAAGCAGATGATCAGAAGAGATCTTTTCTGAGAGCTTGCAGATCTATTGTCCGCTGTGTTATTCATGAATCTACCTCACCTCATTACAGAAGATTAGATATGCTGGAGAATTTTGAGCACTTCAAAAAGTTTTATTCACAAATTTTTGAAAGGGTCTTTGCTCCTTTTATACTTGAAGATGACATGTTGGAAGATAGAGAAATAATCTTTCTCGATTTTATTTTCCTTGCTTGCAAAATAAAGTTGAGACCAAATATAGACAAACTTGTAGAAGAGAGCCCCTTGTCTCCAGAGGTTAAGGATATTTTCATGAACCAAGAGATAAGCTGCAAGACTTCGACAGCAAGTTTGATACAGCTTTCTCATAGAAATAGATGCTTTGCAAAAATTATTGCAAGATTTCTAAAAGTTGAGGAGGCTTTAAAAATTCTTGGAAAGGAAGGGATCCAAGATTTGCAGACTAGATGCTTTAGTCTGTTCTAAATCTCTATTTTTACTACTAAGTGGCTTTCAAGCCCTATTACGTCCAAAATTATTGTTATTACCATTTTGATGGATAGTAAAATTTTGTTCTTGGTAATGAAAACTCTTAGAAAATATTCTCCAATTTATGAGATAATTAATTTCATTCGATTTTGAATAGAAACGAAAGAACTTAACCAATCAATATTTTTAAAAATTGCTCTTTAAACACAAGAGCTTAACTAAATCCTCATTTTTATAGGAAACAATTTTTTTGAGATGAATTTCAATAGTTCCAAAATCCCAAGCACTTTCTAAAATTTCCATCACCCATTTTTATCTTAGCCTATTAAAAGCCTAAACCACAATTTCTAAAACTATTTCCATGACTAGCTCCCCTTAAGGGGTTTTGGGGTTTTGGGGTTTTGGGGTTTTGGGG